GCCTGCGCCGGGCACAGCAGCGTGAGGCTCTGGCCGGAGCGGACGCGGGAGCCGCGCAGGTTGTCCGCGGTCGGGAACTTGGGGCTGGAGAAGCCGACGGGCTCTGTGTGCAGCAGACGGACGTGTGCGGCATGTAGTGCGTGCGAGCGAGCGCGCGTGTGAGCGTTACCTGTACATCGGGACGGGGAAGGCCTGCGCTGGGCACAGCAGCGTCATGGGGTCAGCGAGGCGCACCTTGAGGCCACGGCTGCTCTCCACCGTGGAGAACTTGGGGCTGGCCGCGCCCACGGGCTCTAAAGGGGGGCAAGTGTGTGTGCAGTTACCTGTACGCGGGGACGGGGAACGCCTGCGCCGGGCACAGCAGCGTGAGCGGGTCGCCCTCCTTGGTGCGGAAGCTGCGGCCCGTGTCTACCGTCGGGAACTTGGGCCCGGACGCGCCCACGGGCTCTACGGGAGAGGGGGAGAGAGCGCGCGCGCGCGGCCGCTACAGTCGGGCTGCCTCCGCGGCGCGCCACCACCCCCCGCTCGCCTGCCCAGGGCGGCCCTCCCCACCACCGCGGCCCTTGACACACTGCCCGCTGAATTTCTCATCGGGGCGGCCAACCCCCACCCGGGGGGTGGCATTCACGGCCGCGGCGTGGCGCCGTGGGGTGGGGTCCCGCAACAGGTGGCCGCCGTGGGGGGAGGGCCCGGAGAGGAGCGCGGCGAGCGGGGGGCTGGGCGAAATGTCGTACCTGGACCTGGGCACGGGGAACCCCTGCGCCGGGCAGAACAGGGTCGTGGCCTCGCCGCCAGCCACCACGAACGAGGTGATCTTGTTGGCGGTCGGGAACTTGGGAGGCATGCTACCGACCGGCTCTACAAACACAACGGATACGCGGGGGGTTTTAAAAGTCGCGAGCCAGCCAGCTCCATGTGGCACGTGGTTGGGGGGACGTGTCGTGTAGTTAAGTTACTTACCGCGGAATTATAGGAACAATGTGAGTGACTAAAGGGAAAGTATACTACTTGAAGTGTGAGAGAGACGCGGCGCCAGGCTTCACCACCACTACTGCCACCTCCTCCTCCTCCTCCCCTCCTGGCTTTACTTGTCAATTTTTTATACAAGAAATTTTGAAAAGAATAAAAAAAAAAGTTTCATTTGAATTTACGAAAGAGTGGCCGTCAGCTAACAGGGGTACCCTTATCCCAACATTCAGGCAACGATTTCACAGAGAACAACACAAAAACACTGTGGAATAGAAGACGTTCAGGCATCACTCACGTCGTTTCTAAGACTTTAAAGCATTAACTACGTTCGAGTGTGATAGTCAACGTCTTTTATTTCACACGAGGTTCAGAGAAAATCAACTATTTAGCACTTTTCGCAAATATGCTACGGCAGTGAAGCTAAGAAAACGTCCAAAACGTTGAAAAGTGGAACAAATTTTTTGGTTTTGCTGTGGTATTCTTTTAAGTACACCAGTGAGGTGTGCAATATAACCGATATGCTGGTTAGTTTGATTTTCTCCAAACGACACTTGCGCAAATATAGTACAGCAGGGTGTGGTACTTATACAGTTGACAGGTTAAAAACATACGGAAACATCGGAAAACATTCTTGACCTTTACTTTAACTTGAGCTATTACTTTACTTAATTATTTACAGTCCTAGACCGATTTGTAAAATCCAGATACTACGTAAGTGACGCTATTTCCTTTAGGTTGTGAGGAATTTAAAGGAAAAACAATGGTACCACACCCAAAACACAGGAACATTTTAAGAACACATGTTAAGAATCGAATACCTGGTATTTTACTAAGGGATCGTCTAGAAAGTATGTCTTTTATTTTCAGATTCCAATTCCAGTAAATTACGGGAGCTCGTCGCCTGCGAGACTCAGGGTAGGCCGACCCGCAATACACGCATGCACTGCTGGCAAAATGTTGCCTACCTATCAGGCGCCATGAGGGCTCGAAAGGAGAAGGACGTACTTTCTGGATGATCCCGTAGAAACAAAATTGACCACAAAACGAGCCACTATCATTATTTTGACAGGAGCAATGTTCATGAACGTGACTGCTAACAGCACCGAATGAAAATCAATGTGTTAGAGATTGACAATATCTGTATTTTAATTGGGTCTCATTTTACAAGATAGATGGGTCCACGAAAAAAGCCAATAAGATCTCAAGACTATCAAAGGGTATAGTCCTAAAAATTATGTGTTCTTAAAATGCCAACATCAACGAAATACTTCAGGAAGGAGTAAATAGCGAGCTGGGGTAATACAGAGCAGCTTGGAATGTTTAGGGAATCAAATCAGGAAAAAGGTAAGAGTGCCACACCAGTAGTGCACACAGTTTAAAAAAGAGAAAAAAGAAAAATTACGTGAAGTGTAGTGCGACTACGCACCTACAATGGTATTTACAAAATTTGTTAAAGTTACTGAAAACAAACTCTGTTAAGAGAGCAAAACAGAAATATTTCCACAAAGAAGAACTAGATTTCCATTTGAATGACACAATCAAGCTCGACTATTCACCACCTCTCGTAAAGTTGAATCTATCAGATTCATCGTTAGACTACAATGCCATTTCAAGTTGCAAACGGTACCAATAGTACCGGGTGTCTAGAGCGGACACTCAAGTGGTGCGCCGCAACCGCAACAATGCGGTGTTTGCTCTAAAACACCTGGTACATAATATAATTGTTAGACACATCGCAGTGCTCAACATTTAGTGCATTAAGTGCGGAAATGAATTTTAACCAACGGTCGTACACTGCACATTATTTTGTGTTACAAATATTGGAGGCTTCGCTGCGCTTAAAACGACATTGTGTCTAAAATAAATATTATAGGAGCAGCGCCCATCACGTAAATTTTGAGATGCAAACGTAGTCTTTCATGCGACTTTCATGGTTGTTTTTCTGAAATCTTTGCATGCCGAAAATTTACGTGGTGCACGCTGCGTTTCTGTACTGACATTTTAAACTTAGAAAGTTGGAATAACGAGACTTACCGGTGATGACTAGACGACCTTTGGTAGCGCTGAGACGAGTTTCGCCGGTCAAACGATGCTTGGTGCGACATTGATAGGTTTTGTATCCGTCTTCCGGGCCGACGTCCCGAATGTGAAGTTCTCCAGAGGGCAGCACCAAATACTTGCCATCTGCGCAATATCACACACAGTGGCGTAAGCACTAGTTCCGAAAACTTGAGGATGTGTAAAGGGAAGCAAGCGCAGAAATATTCCAGAATTTTCGTTTCGAAAGAAATTACCGAAATTACTTTAACTTTACATTCATACTTGAACGAGAGGGTATACTTTGAAAACAAAATTATGTCATTGCTGAGTGCACGAGAACGCGTGTTTTATAACGGTTTAATGAGAAAGCTTGCTTCCCTCACAAATTACCAGGTAAACCTCGTTTGATGCCAGAATATGCCCACATTTACTGCCTCAGTCAGAAGCCTTTGACGTAGACGCCAATTCGACGTCGAATAGACGTCAACGTTTTCCACTGGGTAAATGCCTCTTTGATTCTGATTCTTTTATACACGTGGCTTTGGGCGCCTGTGGAATCATATTTTGGCATTACAAGTCGCATGTGAAGTTGCCAGACGGTTTCAAGTAGAACGCATTAAAAACTTGGAATAAATAAATGACATGACAAGTTTTGATGTTAACATGGCATAATGGCTGTATTGGCACAGTTTCTAGAAGTGGGAGTCTGTTTTGATTTGTGTGCCCACGTTTAATTTAACTTTATTTAGATGGGCAAAACGCTGTGCAACCAAAGATTTTTTCTTGTCTGGCAAGTTAAAAGTAAGAAAAGAAACCATCTCGCAGCTTTTCTACAGTTATAACACAGACTCTGAGAAACGTGCTGGAATTTAGGAACCGGCTAAGAATAACATATGTACAACAGTTGGCAATTTTTAATAGAATAGCGCACGTAAAAAAAAAAGAGAGAGCCTCAACAGAAGTGTTCCCGGTGTTCGCGATTCAGCCGTTCTCAGAATCATAATGTTTATTGGTCACAAAATGTGACAAAATAACATGCGACTACTAAGATGTACTCAAAAGATGCATGCATTATAAAATAACACCCAATAACAGCATTTCTGAATGTAAATGAGGTTCAAATTCAACTAAATAATAATTTTATCTTCGAAACCGTAGTGTATAAAACTATGTTAGTTCCCATTAAGTAAATGTGTTAGTTTTCATTCAGAAATACTGTGGGATGTACGATAAACAATGAAACAAGAAAATTGGCAACAATGTCAGAAAAAAACAATACAATTTATAATACACGAGGAGTGAGAAGCCTAGATCATGCAGTAGACCTAATTGAAAGTTCTTTCTTTATATCGAAACAGCACAACTTGCTAGTGAGCAGATGGAGCAGATAGCATAGCATTAAACTTTTATAGATAAAATTTAACGGTTTTGTAAACCAATTGTTTACAAACTCAAGTCAATAATTAAAAGCAGGAGATAGGCGAAACTGATAGAAATAGACTTTCCACTCCAGGACAAAATATTTCAAAACATTTAAACAATCAGCAGCGAATGTTCACAGAAACCTCCTGGAAAAAGACAAGACATCAGCTACACTTGCCGGTCATGTATGTATGTTCAAGCCATACTCCTCTAGATGTGGATTAGAATTCCTAGGCCAGTGCCAAACGAAATTTGAGTTTGGAAGAGAAAATAGTAGGTAGCTCACGTAAAAAGCTCAGCGGTATCACTGCATGACTTAGGAGGGGTGCAATTACGAAACGCGATATCGATCCCAAACGAAATTTAGACTACTTTTAACAGTTTCACTAGAACCCGGCAAATGTAGAGACGTGTACCATAGTTGTTGTCCTCGAGGATCTCCTGCTCGCGGCCCTGCGGGCCCGCGGCGCCCTGCAGCCAGGACGCCACCGTCACGTAGTCCGCCACGAAGCTGGGGATGTGGCACTTGATGATGGCCGTATTCCCACGCAACACGTGCTCGTCCATCACGTTCACCGAATACTGCTGCGTAACGACTGAGAAAGGAGAGCGGAAAAGGTCAGACACAACAGAGGAGGAGAGACAGACGCCGCACTCGGACGGGACGCCACCCTCCAGGGCCTCCAGGGAGAGACACGCGTGTCGGCCACGTGACTGCGGCGGGCGAGCTCGGGGAAGCGCTGTCTCGGAGCGGCAACATACTGGAGCTAGTGGTGAGCCACTCGCTGCAAGTTAAGGAGAGCCGTTGCACATGGAACAGCTTGGAAACAGAGGCCCGACGGCTGGTTTTTGTTTTGTTTTTACCGTAGTCGGCCGGGTTGGGCACGTAGCGGCCGCCCTGGGAATCCTCCCAGCTGCTGATCTCCACGTGGTCCGCCACGAACGAGGGGATGTTACACTTGAACACGGCTGCGTTGCCCTTAATTACAAACACATCGTACACCTGCGCTTCGTAGTACTGATTGACCACTGCAACAAGCCAGACCCAACCCACGACACAAAGGTCAGAAAAGAGGAGCAACAATAACAGACGACACCATTAGAAAAAGTAGTTGTCCTGAAAACAAACATAGGAGAAACCTGAAAACAAGTGAATCGAAGCACAGAAAAATCATGTCCTGGAAGAGAGAGAGAACGAGAGAGAGAGAGGGGGTGGTTTAGCTTTAGGCTCCGGGCATTACCGTAGCCGTCGTTGGAAGGGGCGAAGGACGCGCCGTCGTCCGCCACCCAACCCGTGACTTGCACGAAATCGGCGACGAAGCTCGGCACGAGGCACTTGAGGGTGGCGGCGTTGCCGCGCAGCACGAACTCGTCGATGACCCGAGTCTGGTAAAACTGGTGCACCACTGCGGGAACACAAGCGGGGTTAAAGGTTGCAGTGGGCGGGCTGCTGCTGCTGCTCGCGCTACGTCTCCTCCTGCTCGCGCTCGGCCTGCTGTGGGAGAACACGGCTCGGAGGGGGCGGGGGCCGTGGTGCGGACCCACCCCTCACCGCGCGGGTCAGTGGCGAGCTACGAGAAGTACGAGGGGGGATTACCGTAGTCACCGTCCGGGCGGTACGAGCTGCCGGCGCTGTCCACCCACATCTCAACGTGTACAAAGTCCGCGACAAAGCTGGGCACCTCGCACTTCATGACCGCGCTGTTGCCGCGGATCACGTACTCGTTGTCGGCCTCCACCTCGTACGACTGAGCCACCACTGCGGGGCGCGGGAGCGAGAGAACAGCGAGAACGACACGGGTTAATAACGGGAGAGAGAAAGAGAGACATAATGGGTTAGCGTCCCCGAGCTGCGGCAGCTGCGGCGCCTGCAAAGGAACAGGTGGTTAACCCGGGCAGAGCGCCATTTACCATAGTCCGTCTGGCCCTTGTTCTTGTTGTACATGTGAACCTCCCCGGAGTCCGCCAGCCAAGCGTCTATCGTGACAAAGTCGGCGACGAAACTCGGGATCTTGCACTTCATGACGGCGCTGTTGCCCCGGATCACATACTCGTTCTCTGCCTCCGTCACATAGTTCTGAGCCACCACTGCAAAGACACGAGCCGTGAAGTGAAGAAAGCGACCGGCGCTGACAGACGGAGACACACAAAGCACTAAACCCTAAAGCGTAACAACAACAGTGACAAGGATAAGGTTAGGTTTCTGTGACCATTCTGTGAGCCGGCGCGTGATGGGGTAGGGGTCGAGCCGGCCGGCCCGCCCCGCCCCGCCACGCCTCGGCTCCGCTACCACCTGCGGCTGCGGGGGAGGAGAATGTTTACCGTCGGGCTGGCCGCCGGGCAGCAGCGTCTCCCCCGGGTCTGTGAGCCAGGCCTGCACGCTCACGAAGTCGGCTACAAACGAGGGGATGCTGCACTTGAGGATGGCCGTGTTGCCCCGGATCACGTACTCCGTCAGGATCTCCGCCTTGTAGAACTGGTTCACAACTACCCGCGGGGGCACGGCATACGGGGAAGCAGGAGCAACGAGAAACACAACCAGTCTGGATTAGGGTCTGGGGATTTACCGTAGTCACTGGACGGCAGGTAGGCCGTGTCGTCACTGGCGACCCAGGCGTCCACGCGGACAAAGTCCGCCACGAACGAGGGAATGTTACACTTGAGCACGGCCGTGTTGCCCTTAATCACGTACTCCGAGACAACCTCGGCCTCGTAGAACTGCGACACGACTACGAGAAGCGAAAAGTTAGGTTAGGGGGCGACCTGGAAGTAGTGGGGGTTATCGGTTTGTCGCCGGTGAGGTCCGGTGTCAGCCAGCCGGGTCGAATGTCGCCACCTGTAGGAAGCGTGGGGTGAAGGCGGGTTAGGTGCTCTCCGGCAAGCGTTTTTACCGTTCTGACTGTCCTTGCCCGTGTACGTGTGGCCCTGGCTGTCCTCCCAGGACGTGACGCTAACAAAGTCCGCCACGAAGGACGGGATCGAGCACTTGAGCACGGCCGAGTTGCCCCTGATCACATACTCGTTGTTCACCTCGGACTGATAAAACTGTTGCACCACTGCGGAACACATAGAACACCGGTCACATAACAAACTAAAACTGGCCGAACCGCGATCCGATGCTCCGCACGACCTGTCGCGAGCCACCCGAAGGGGGCGGATCCAGGAAAATATGTTTATTAGAGAAATGTCTTCGGTGACGGGATTCGCAAGTGAAGCCTGGATTCACCCCCCGGGCAGCAAGATAGAGAGAGAGAGGGAAAAAAGGGAATGAGCCTCGCAATCCTTATCCTAGGGCATGCTGACCGCCGGCATGATGCATTGCGGTGGTAGTTTTGCTCGCATGAATTACCGTAGTCGGACCCGGGAGAGAAATTGTCGCCTTGCTCTGTGTGCCAAGACACGACACTCACGAAGTCCGCCACAAACGAGGGCACCTGGCACTTGAGAACGGCGGAGTTGCCACGGATGGCGTACTCCTTGTTCACGTCGGTGTCGTAGTGTTGGGACACGACTGCAAGAAACAGCATTGTGAAACAGGCTTTTCTTTTATTTTGAATTTGAATTGGTTCGAGTATTGACGGGATAACAACAAAAGTAACGTTTCCAAATAAAAGAGAGATTCACACGACTTGTTAAGACAAATCTTCACTTTCTCTTTTTAAAGTAAATTATAAATAATGCATTTTTTCAATGGTTAAAATCGTGACTAGACTAAACACTGGAAACTCACCAGTTGACTAACAAACAGAAGGAATTCAAAATAAAAGAAAACGTTTCTACACAGATACCTCCAGAAATGGTCACAGTCACCGCAACTATTGTCAGAAGGACACGAGGGCTTGAAACATATAGTAAATATTTCGGCATCATAGTACGTATCTTCCGCCGCCCATGAAAACAAGACCGAAAGCTATCAAATTTAGCAACGCATTCTCTGGTCGAGAGCGAAAAGATAAAAGATTCAGCAGACCGACTCTCCGGCCGGCCGGCTGGGAGCGCCCGCGCTTCGGGAGGCGGCTTCTCGCTGTGCTTGGCTGTTGGGCGGCCGGCCTACCCCAGCGAGTCGCAGGCGCTCTATCCCCGACACAACCCAGCCCAGCGTGTTTCAAGTCCTCGTGTCGAGCACAGAGAAAATAAGGGGGAGAATGAAAAACAGAAAGGTGCGGCGAGAGGGGCGCCAAACATTATGGCGCTGACGATTGTCAACTAAAACAACAGGGGTCTCTCCGTTGGAGCAGCAGAACAGATGAAAGCGCGCTCATACAACACACCCCTCGCCGCTACAGGTACGGTACAGGTAGATGGACACAAACATATCACTCTCAAGAGACACAACAGAGACACTCGTAAAACATCATCACAACATGCCCCGCCGTGGCTGCCTTGTCTCGTCCCGCGACTCGTTGTCGGCCTCCACCTCGTACGACTGAGC